ACTTTGCCCTCTCTATTGGACTTGTCTTGTTCTTTCTGTTGCTATGTAATTATTATTTAGGAACATATCTTATTCTTAAAATAGACTGAAAGGATTAGTGAGAACTGTGAAACAATTGCTGATGAACTTTCCTGAAATAAAAGTCATGAACTAAGCAGGTTCCCAAGACAGATTATGTCAATCATCCCATAAAATTACAATCCCAATCTTAGTTGATAAAATGCCCCCATCAGACTAACTTATGGGCAATCCTGTAGCGCATTTTCTTCATTAGTGATTGATTTGGGCTGGCCCAACTCGCTGTCAGTGGTGCTATCCCTGGGCTGGTAGTCCTGGGTGCTCTAAGGAATTGACTGAGCAAGCTAGTAGGAAGTACTTCCTGGATTCTTCTCCATTTCCTGTCTCCAGCTTCCTGCCCTGTTTGAGTTCCTTCCCTCAATGATGGACTGTGACATAGAACTGTAAGCAGAAATAAACCCTTTCTTAAAAAAAAAAATTCCCAGCTGTTGACTCTATAAATCAGCAGCCACAATGACCCTTTAAAAACTGTCAGTCTCCTCCATGCAAAACTCCCACTCCCAGTAGCTTCCTTATTCACGGTCCTTATAATGGCTTGCACCATCCTGCATAATCTTGTTGCTTTCAGATCTCATTTCCTAAAGTCTCCTCTCTGTGAACTCAACTGAAAAAGACTACAGCCTTTCATGTACTGCTGGCATCTTTCTGCTGCGCAGCTTTTGCAAACGTTGTTTCTTTCATTTAGAACAAGCTTCCTTCAGACATCTCATGAGTTCTGTTCCAGGCCCCACAACCTTGGCTTGGAAGGCAGGACGCTTGTTCCCACTTGCCTCTGTGTGCTTAACAGTAGTTTCTTACTTGCCTACCTGTACTGCCCTCTGGCGTTCAGTCAAGCACAAGTCCACAGCGTATAAAAATCAATTGTGGCAGAGGCTTTTTACCTGTTTCCCCTAAGTGTTGGAAAGAGAGCAGGTTCACAGAAAGAACAGCAGAGTGTTAAGCACAACCGGGAGCACCGCAATAACACCGCTTCTTCTTCAAAAACAAAATATGATGCATAGAAATGGAAAATATATAAGAAGAAATATGCACTAGAGACAATTGTAGCTTTTTAACATTATCAGAATCTTTTTGTTTTCCTGCTGCTGCCACCGTTGTTTTAACATGAAATTTTATGTAAGATAATTAGAGAAAAACTACCACTATTTTAGCATGTTATAGTGGTTTTAATTATTAGTAAATGAAAAAGTATTGTTCATTCTTTCTACTATTTATTCAATTATGATTTCTTTAAAGAGTAACACCAAATTCAGATATGAAGAAAGCACTAATAAGTCTACAAGTATAAAACCTTATGAATAGTACTACATCAAAAATATCCCATATAATAAAAATACATTAGATTCATAACTTCGTGTAAAATGCAACTTGATTGATCTTTGTGTGATGTAGATGAAGTTTAAATAATGATACTGTCAGAACCACATAAGTGATTCAATTTGATTACTGTTTTGTGTCAAGTGATTTGTTCAGGTGTTGTTACAAAAAGTTGTGATGTCTATTAGTTCTACATGCTTTTTTTTCTTTTAAAATATTGTACTTTACTGTCAAAAAAGTATCAGCAACACTAAATGATTATTTAGTTTATCATAAGAATATTTCTTAACATAACATATAAAATATATACCCAAAAAGTTCTTTAAATAATCTTTTCTTCACCTGGAAGTGTTTTTTAAACATCAGACACGCTTTTCATATCATGAAAAGATATTAAATATTCACATTTTCAGGATTCAGAATTATTTTACTTTAGAATTTTTTATAATGCTAACTAAAATGTTACATGTAATACTCAATGCATGTTATTTTACATGTTCATTTGAGATAATTTTATAGAAACAAGTTAGAAAATTTTAATAAATCTCTAAATTGGTTAAAATAATAAAAGAATCAAACATTTTTAATACTAAAAAAGTATATAAACACAAATGCATGCTTTGTTGCTAGCTATGCATGCCTTCAGAGAAAAAATTGGCAAAATCAGAATAATTGATACCCTTTTAAAAGATGATTAGTAAAGATAAACACAACAGACTAATAGCTAGGAGGAGACCCTCCAAAGATGAGATCTTTGCATGCGAAGGTACCAGATACCTTCCAGTTCCTTAACTTTCCTTCCAGGACCATGTAGCACTAACTTAGTAAAAGGAGGGAAAGACATTAGTAAAAAGCTAGCTACTGACTTATTACAGATTCATGAGAAAGTTGCAAAAGTCATTTAACTCACCCCCAACCTGAGGTTAGTACCAAGTCATTGACTATACGTAAATTTTTTTTCTAGTTAAGAATCAGCTCTCTTTGCATCAGTCTGGCTCTTTCTTAGAAAGTCATCTTGTATAGCTGGGTGTGTCTAATGGAAAATTGTATTGATTTTTCTCTTTTACTTAGCCGAAGCTAAGTAAACAAGCTTTCACCAACATCCCAGTACACTGATAAGATAAAGGAGTCCAACTGTTAAATTTGGGTACTTTTAGCTCTGTACTTTATAAACATCCTCTACTTCCACTCTCTCCAGGAATTATGGAAGAAACAATACCCCTCTATTCTTGTTAAAGGCAGTGGACATACTCTGATATAAATTAAACTCAATTCTAGATAAAACAAAGGTGAGTAAATTTTCTAAGAGAGAACAGATAAAGAATAAAAAGACTATAGGTGTGTGGAAAAGGAGGACCAAAGGAACTGCTGTTATATAGAAATGGAAAATTCTAGAAAAAGTGAGTAAAACACTACTGAAAAATAAATGGATTGGGATAATATACATTTTGTAGGGTTTCTTCCTCCTCCTCCTCCTCCTCCTCCTCCTCCTCCTCCTCCTCCTCCTCCTCCTCTTCTTCTTCTGCTTCTGCTTCTTCTTCTCCTCCTCCACCCCCCCCCTCCTCCCCCTCTTCCTCCTTCCTCCTCTTTCCCATTTTCCTCCTCTTCCTCCTCTTCCTCCTCTTCTTCCTCCTCCTTCTCCTCTTCCTCCTCCTCCTCCTCCTCCTTCTCCTCCTCCTCCTAAGACTAAGCATGATGTTTAAGAGTTATTTTTAGAGTCTTAGCCTGTTGCAAGTAGAAGCCAGCCAGAGTTTGGTCAACTCTTCCAGCAGGAAACAGCATTCAAAGAAATCCTTTGTGTTATAGGAGGATTCACAGTACATATTCTTAGTTAAGACAAAGAATAGATTTTTTTCTCATAGAATAAGTATAGCTGCTACATTGCAAAATCTTCAACAAGGATTTCGAGCAGAGATTTCTAGCCACTGTGCAATTTAAGAGTTGCCAAAAAGGTAGGGTCTAGAAGGGTAAATAACATGACCAGTAATACATGATTGTCCCACAGTGGGAAATGTACTTAGGAAAAAACATAATCATATTATTATTAATATTAATAGTAAAAAGTCATATCCATTGTAAAGTACCCTGAGCCATTTGGGAAGCTGAGGAAGTGATTTTCTGGTGGCTAGGGAGCAAATGATATATTCTTGGATTAAAAAGTACTAGATTTGTTTTGTGGAAGAACATGGCATGTGTGCTTGAGTACTGTAAATGTGTGTACATGTGACTGGATGTCCACATGAAGCAATGACCAAAGTCTTTGTGCAGTTATATTTTGTAAATGCTGTATATTTATAAATATTGTATAAATTTTTAGCTACTTATACTTTTTCATGTTTACATTTTAATGTATTTAGGTTCTTCTATTTGAAAATGAGACATATGAAAATATTTAAAATTCATAAAACTAAGTGAATATGAAAGGAATCTGAGTTCTTTCCTTGAACTGACGGAAGACAAAAACGTTGCACAAGCAAGCCAGACTTGAGAAAAAAGGAGATACTAAGAGTGAAAAATTTCTGAGACCAAACATTTCAAATTTCAGGATCTCAGGATTTTGTTTTGTTTTGTTTTAAATTAGGTTTATATGTATACATGAGTGCCCAAATGTGCACATGTATACAACAACATATATATGTGGTGCCTGCAAAATCAAAAAAAGGGTGTCAAATTCCATGGAATTGGGGTTACAGACAATTGGATACAGCCATGTAGGTGCTAGGAATCAAACCTAGGTCCTTTGTAAGAGCAGAAAGTGTTCTTAAGCACTGAGCAATTTAATTTAAAAAGAATGTGTGTGGGCTGGAGGGATGGCTCAGGGGTTAAGAGAACTGACTGCTCTTCCAGAGGTCCTGAGTTCAATTCCCAACAACCACATGGTGGCTCACAACCATCTGTAATGGGATCTGATGCCCTCTTCTGATGTGTCTGAAGACTGCTACAGTGTGCTCACACAAATAAAAATAAATCTTAAATTTTTTTTTAAAAAAATACGTGTGTGTTTGTGTATGTATGTGATTGTGTATGCATGTATAAGTGTGTGTGTGTCTATGGTTCTATATGAGTGTGTGTGTCTCAGAAGAGAGCATTGGGTGTCCTCTACCACTTTTCAATGCACAGTCTCTCCTTGTGTTTTCTGGACAGGCTGTTGTCCAGTAAGTCCCAGAGATCCTCTTCTGTCTACTCCCCTTAGAGCTGAGATTATAAGAACTGGCAGACATGTCTAGCTCGTTATGTGGCTACTGGTATCTGAACTCAAATCTTCAGGATTGCCCAGCAACTTGAGCTATCTCTCCATTCCCCAATTTAAGAATTTGTTAAGGAGCATAAGACTGATCTTAAAAGACTGTAAGCTAAGATCTGCAAATGAGAAAAGGAACCAGGTAATATTCCGGGCGGTTGGGAAGGGGGAGGTCAGTTAATAGAACATAAAAGAAGTTGGAGTAAATGGAGTTGAAAGGAAGCACCCAGAAGGCTGAGGGAAAATTTGTCTATATTGCCCCTCCCCCACTCTCAGAAGCCCTTTGTGATGTGGAGTCCTGGCTTTGTGATGGAGAGTCTCCAGCTCTGTGATGTGGGCCTGAGTTATCCTTTAGCTCCCAGGAAGAACTCCCAACAATGGGATTCAGATGGAGAATCTTCCCTCTCTTCTGGAAAGCATTTACACCACATGGCTGAGCCTCAGCTCCACTATATGGGCAATGGACATGATCCTTGCCTTTGTGTGTGGACTGGGGCTCTACCTCCTGTTCCTTCCTTTTCTTGAGAGTCGTCTATCTTCAACTCCATCAAATATAAAGTTCACCAGGAAGGTGAGAAACTCTCAACTTAATCTAACAGAGAATTCTCTTTCTTCCTCTCCTATCCTTCTCTCCTCCCTCCCACCCTTCTTCTCTCTGCATCTTTCTTAGTTTTTAAATTAGTATACGAAGAATTGGTTTGAAAAATAGGATCTTCAAACAAAATTTGTTTTTCTTGATTGTCTGATATCTTCCACCCACCTCTCCTCCTTTGTTTCCTTCCTCACCTTGTACTCCTCCACTCCCCACAAACTTCCTTTAGGTTTTCATATCACATGCATCTTTTCACCCATTTCTGCCTCAACACCACATTTTATTACAAATTTTCACTTTTCCAAATTAAGTAGGCAGACAGCTGGGGAGAAATCTCCAGAAAGAACAGAAATCTATTCTCCTGGGACCTGGTGGGATAGGGTTGAAAGCAGACACCATAGCATCTATCTGGAGCTCACAGTATGTCTGTGAGGTGTGCCGGTGTGCCATGGTTTCATGTATAGGATCTGGATTTTTTAAATAGTTTGGGATCTCTGGGATAGGACAAGCATTGAGCACTGGTTCATATATCCTCTTCTCCTGTACATGCCTTTCCTCTGTGATGGGTGGTCTGAGGGCTGTGCTGAGCCTCAAAAGGCATTAGATAAGGGGACAGAGCTCAAGACATCTAGCTTAAAGAAGCAGAATTCTACATGGCAACTATGAAGCAGCTGCAGGGATTTGGCTCTTGAACAGAAAAACGATGACTATAGACATCCATGGTTGGTCTCACAGTAGAAAATCCTCCCTCCAGTGTGTGTGTGTGTGTGTGTGTGTGTGTGTGTGTGTGTGATATGTATCTGTGTATGTTATGTGCATGTGTATAATATGCATTATATGTTGTGTGTGGTGCTTATGTGCATGTGAAGGAGGTGGATATGTTTGTGCATCTATTGGGGGGCAAAGAAGAATATCAAGTGTTCTCTATAACCCTCTCCTTATTTTCTTTAGACAGAGACTTTGCAACCCTAGTGCTATGGGAGGCAAGGATAGGAAAGGATTTCTGGAATTTGCTGTCTCCCAGCCTAGCTCCAAGTTTGGATCTTCTGTCTCTGCCTCCCATAGCACTAGGGTTCCAGGCACATGTGGAACTACATCTGGCGTTTTACATGAATCCTGGAACCTGAATTTAGGTCCTTTACACAGCAAATGTTCTAATCCACTAGGTCATCTCTACAGCCCCATTTTTTCTTAAGGAACGAAAACTGGTTGGGGAAAATGCTCAGTAAAGTGCTTGCCTTGTAAGCATGAACACCTGGGTTTAGATACTCAGCACCCAAGTAGAAAGCTGGGCATAGTAATGTGTGCCTGTAGCCTCATGCTGGGAAACAAATATAAAATGAACTCTGAAGCTTCCTAAACTCTCAGTCTAACTGAATTAGTAAGTAAGAGACTGTATTTAGACAGAGTAATGGGAGAATACTGACATTACTGACGTGGGTCTCTGGTCCCCCCCCCACACACACACACAGGGGTGGGGGGGAGATGGAGGTGGAGACAGAGACAGAGAGAAAAGAATAAATATTTAAACTCATTTTAAAAATGTCAAGTTAAAACAACAGAAACAGAACCACCATTCAAGTGTGGTGGTACATTTCTTTAAACCCAGTACTTGAAAAGCAGAGGTAAGTACATCTCTGAGAGTTTAAGTCTAACATGGTTTATATAGTGAAATCCAGGCCATCCAGGGCTGGAGAGATGTCTTAGCTGTTAAGAACATTTGCTGTTCTTCCAGAGGAACCAAGTTTGCTTTCCAGACCACATATCCCACCACCACCTATATTCTAGCTCCAGGAAATCCAACATACCCTTCTGGTCTCTGCTAGTGGTCAGACACACATCAAAAACACCACACCACACACACACACACACACACACACACACACACACACACACACACCATATTGAATTTAAAATTCATGAATATTAAATATCTGCAGATTCTCTAGAGGAGATTGAGAATATTTCTCTCTGTATCTCATTTCTCAGCCTCAGATACAGATGACCTGGCAGAGCCAATACAAGAAAAAGTTTAGGAATCATTGTAGGAATGATGCAAAAGGTAAGTTAGTCTCTGCCATTCACTTGCTTGTGAGGAGCTAACAGCATGTTTTCCAGGTGAGTACAGAGGCTTAAGAGGGAGGTTCCTGGGAAGGAAGTCAGAATCCCATACTCAGGGATTAGAAGAAAGCTATAGTAAGCCAGATGATAGGTGTTTCTAACAGAAAGGTCTCTAGACTCTTAGGAGCAATGCTACCAGGATTTGGAGCTTGAGTAAAGCTGATTCTGTCTTGAGATGACCCAATCCTTTCCCTCCCATATGTCAGCTAGAAGGATCGTGGAGGGTGACAGCTATGGGAGCTACTTATAAGTGATTAAGTGCTGCCTATCTATGTACCTTGAAAGCTCTTCAGATCATGGACCACATGACCTTGAATACTAATGAGCAGGCTCTGGAGCCTAATCTTGTAATCTTTTCTAACGGGATACCCACAAATTTAGCTTGTTATAATAACCCTATGCCCCACCTTCTACCATCATAACCCACTCTCCTAATTTCCAGCTTGGGGAGAATGCCTGAAAAAGCTGAAAGAAAAAGAAAAGGATGAATTATTTCTAGAAGAAATGAGCCCAGGACACCATTTGAACTCTTTAGGGAATATATTTAATTTACCAAGTGCTAAACAAGACAGCACTACCCTGTCACCCTTCTGGAACCTGAAAGAAAAATCAGAAGAGCAGGTGACCACTCAGAAACTATCATATCCCAAGATCTCAGGGGACCATTTTCAACAGAAATATGATCAGCTTTTCTGGGGTCTCCCTTCTCTCCACAGTGAGTCTCTGGTAGCTGCTGCCTGGATCCCTCAGACAACATCAACTCTCTCTTCTCCCTTTTTCTTATTCAATGTCATCTCAAGTGTTTATCCAATTCAACTGCAGGATAAAATGTCTCCAATGCTTCCCCACACACATCCTCTGTCCTATCTGGACCTCCAACCTCCACCCTTAATTCTGTCTCCACTTGAATTCCAGCCCCCAGCTTTGAATCAAGTCCATTTTCAATCCCCTCTCCCGGTCCTACTACCCTCTTCTCTACCCTACAATAGGGATTTTGGTACATCTTATTCTCAATCACAAAGTAAGCCACAATATCTCCCAACTGAAATAAATTACAGAGAAAGGCCCTCAATGACACAACTAGAAAGCAGATTGACTTTACCCTTGATGGTCCAGAAACCTCAAGAAAGCTATGACATCTTGACCCCCAGCCCTTCCCAAGACTGGGCAGACTCTATCCTTCCTGATAATTTTCCCATCAACTGTGAGCTCCGGGAGAAACTAGAGCAACACATTCAAAAATGGCTCATTCAACACCAAAGGAATTTTCCCCATAAGATCCAAGAGTCTGGGGAAGTGATGGAGCTTCAGAACACAGTACCAGAAAATTGTCAAATCAGAGGCAAACCTGGCACTTCACAAGCCCTTGTGTCTACTGGTGAACACAGCAAAGAGGGCCAGAAGGTGAGATTCCAGCTAGAAAAGGAATCTGGCAAGAATCTGGGACCTATTCTAGGAAAGATCTCAAAAGATCCAATCAGGGGCTTAGAAAAAACTATGGTAAAGGTTCAGGGGCCAAACAATTTGGAATCAGGAAGAATTTCAGTTAGGTGCCCCAGAAATGACTCAACACATCACATAGACAAAGATTTAGTAAACAACTTGAAAGCTCATTTGGGTACAAAGTCAGTGCAGATTAATCAAGGTCTGACCCCACTGAGTATGCGACGATCCTGGCTTGCTGTGGACAATAGTTTTTACGATACTGACATCCTTGTGGAAACAAGAAGTTTAACATCCTTGAGGAGTTCTGAAACTTCCATATGCTCTACAGAGAAGCTTGCCTTTCTCAGTCCAGAAACTCGACAGGCTCTGGAGGCACATGTTGTAAGGTTTTGGGTGAAGCACAGGTGGGCTCTACCCCTTAAGATACTCAAGCCCATAAAACTCTTTAAGTTAAAAAGTATTGAGTCCTTGCCTGTTGCACTTTGTGCCCAGTCTTCCTCAACCACTTCTGTACATGGGACCAGCCCAGCAGTTGAGGTAGTCAGATATCTAGGAAAACCATGTTTGAGACAGATGATAATTAAGGATTCTTCTCCATCACCAGGGAATCTTTTCCTTGTTTCATCTCCTTCCTGTAAGAGGGCCATGAGAAGGCTTCCCTCTGGTGTTGACCATGAACCTTCTACAGCCCTGCCAACCAAATCAGAGAGTGGGCATCTTTCAGAAACTCTCATGTATAACTTCATAGACACACCCTCTCAGAGTAGAAGTGTCTTAAAGAAAGAGATAGAGAACCAAGAAGTCCTTTTACTGCCTAGAAGGACTAGTGCCCAGAAACCAGAGTGTCACAACCTTCAGGCAAAAGTTGTTAGTGAGTTTCCACATAATGTGGAGACAGAATTAGCAGGCCAGCCACAGATCTATACCACTGCTGTGCTCCTTCCAAAACGTTCCAGGAGCATGCTTCTTCCTGTAGAAAATTTGACTTCACATGTATTAGGTGACATTGTGGTGGTAGAAGGAGGCAGTGGTTTGGTGCATCAAAGACCCAGTACCCCAAAGAAGAGCCAAATCAAGATGTTGGCCCCTACTTATCAAGGAGAGGACACAGAGCGAGAAAGTGAAAGGAAGTATGAAGACAGGTCTCAGTTCACCCCAATCAAGGAGAAGAAGGTCAACTTCGGAGGCCAATATTATCATATCCTTCCAAAAACCACACAAGTTCTTACAGAAAGCCCCTCTCAAAGACGTTTAAGCCGCTTTCTACAGTGGATTCACCCCAGGAAAATAATCAAGGGGCAGGAATGTCATCCCCTGAAAGGCACTGTCCAGAACCAACAAAGGCAACTGAGCAAAAAACCATATATGGACAACAATGATGCTGAGGCCCAGGATCTTATGACGGCTGTTGGACAGATATTAGAAAAGAAAATGATGATGCAACATCAACTCTGTGCTCCAAAGTTCAACCAGCACAGGGAAGTTCCTCCAGTCCCCACTTCTCAGTTTTCCCATGGCCACATGCCAGTCTCCTACTTAGAGCAAAGGAGACCACCCAGTTACCCTGCCAATTCCTCATGTCAGAGGTGTTCTTTACAGGACAGGCACATCAGAAACCAACTGTCTCAGAAAAGTGTACAATTTAGCAAGAGACCACAGATCCCACGGAACCCCAGCCGCTTGCCCCCCAAAGCAGCTTTGAACCTAGTGAATTCTTCCCATAATAGAACAATAGTGCCAAGAATCCCAAATCACCATCTTTGTTGTCCTAGGCACTGTGCCCTCCAGAGAAATGTCTGCAGAGAACTAAGACATTCCCCTGTAGTTTTTCCTAATAGGAAAACATATTGAAAGAAAAAGATTAGTGAATGTAAAAATTATTTTTCTCATGTTAGTACATTCAAGATGCTTAATGTAGCCCAAAATACATGTTTTCCCCCATAAATGGGTAATGTTTTCTGTCTGTTCCATGTTTTATATGGGCCTTGGCTTCCAGCAGTGGGGGTGATTGACAGACATAGTATAAGGCCACCTCCATAGAAAGTCTTAACATCAAAACACTGTTGCCAGTGTTGGGGGAGACACTACTGTTGGTAAAATACTTGGGGCAAAAACATAAACACATGAGCTCAGATCTCTATCATACATGTACAAAGCCAAATATGGTGGTGTACAGTTTTAATCACAGTACTAGGAAAAAAACAAGATCCCTGGAGCTCAATGGCTAGATGGCTACTCCAATCAATGAATGAGCTACAGGTTCACTAAGTGACCCTTTATCACCCACCCCCAAAAAGGAGCTACTGAGAAAGATAATCAAAATTGACCTCTAGTCTTTACACACATATATGTATACATGCATGTCTACTTTGCACATACATGTGCCCACACACAAAGATGACAGGATAAGGAAAACTGAGAACATGCCATTTTATAATCTGCTTCAACCCACCTTTCCATTACTTTATCTTAACCTTAATCTTTAGGCAGATGCAAAGACTGACAGAAGCATCTTAAGCTTCCAAATTTCCCCAGGGGCTCCAGGAAGGGTCAGAGCTAATTACCTTTTCTTGCTATAACATAGGCATAAGTTTGGATGGAGGTAAAATATTCTGTTGTGCTCTGAGCTCAGAAGCAGGAGAAAGCGTTCCCCATAGATAATGTCTATCTCTGGGAAGCGTCTTCTCATGGGGAAATGTAGAGATAGTGATAGGCCCTTACAGTTCAGCCTTAAGGAAAATTTAGTCATATGCTAGACATCCCCTGCATTCCACATGCTGTAGAATAGCAGAGGAAGGCACTTTCCAGATCAGATGATGATAACATTCAGGGAGACCACTGAAGGTCATATCTATCCCAGAGGAAGACTAGTCCTACAGTTCACTTACCTTAGTCAATTTCATAGCTAGCTCAAGCTCAGGGAGGTATTTTAGGTGAATGAAAAGGGACATGATTGAGAGTTTCAAACTGTAGACTGAGGGCAGGATACAAAGAATTGAAAACCTTGGAGCCAAAAAAGCATGAAGGTGCTATAAATGTGTCATGAACAAGGAGTCCTTGTTGCCCTGCCACCTGGAAGTCAAAAGGAGGACATTTTATTTAGGAGCCAAATGGTTCATCCTGGTCACATGTGTATCCCATCTGTGATCCTTGGTCTCAGACCTAGAAAAGCCACAAACAAAACAAAACAGACTGGATTGGAATAAAAACAAATTGGGGAAAACAAATTTATTAACCTTGCATATAACCACATCTCTAATCCTAGAAAGGATGATTTTACAGTATACATCAGGACTGGGAATATACACCATACTGGAACTACAACAAGTAGAGTGGTGAAATTTTACAAGGGTGGAGGGGATGGCAACTTTTGTTCTGCAATTTATCCTTGTTTAGTCCAGAGACCAATAGGAAAGACAATCAGAAAGGGTATGCACTGCCAGTAGCTTTTGACTCCCTCCCATGTGTAGGAGGGTACAGGAGAGGTCTATGTTCTACTCTCTGCTTCTAGCATTCCTTTCTACTGGGCCTGTCTAGTGAGAATTTTGGTTTCTTTAAAAATCCAGTTAAGTCATGTGAATATGTTTTTGTTTTAATCCCAGATGTGGGAAAAAAAGAGGCTGTTTCACATCAGGTGATTATGATTGACCTTGTGCTCTAGCAGAGACTTGGCTTTGTTAGCTGCAGATAGGTTCTGCAGGTGTGTGATGTTTGGAATTCTGGGAGCTTTTCAGAGGGTATAAATGCCAGAGCCCTGAGAAGGGCCAGGGTCTACAAGCTAAGGAGACTGCTGCTTCTGCTGCTGGTGGTGGGAGTGGTTCCTATTGCTATGGTTTGTCAAGTGGTAATGAATAAAGAGACTAGAAGAAAAAATCAGATATCCTGATGACAAAGATGGGATTTGCCTCAAGGAACCCGACATGGAACTTCCGAGTCAGCAGAAAGTAGTCTAAAGAGATCTCCTTCCCCACCCCCTCCTACCTAGTATTGGGCAGTTGGAAGGGATCAGAGTGGAGTAAGAGTTGGAAGGGTAGTAGATATAAGAACCCAATAAAGCAACCCCCCCTCAAAAGCATACCTATAAGTGGTGCCCAAATGTAGGGCTAGAATGGAAAACTTAGCTTCTAATGACATAGAGGAAGCAGCGAGGGAGTGAGGAAGGAATGTTATGTGTCAGGTGGTTACTATGGCTACTACAGCTGGGCTCCCTCTTGCTTAGCTCCCAGACAAGATTTTCTATATTTTCTTATTCTTCTTCCTATACTCTGTCTCAAAAAAAGTCAAGAGAATGGCTGGACAATTGGAAAAGTTGCAAGTGAATATGAAGGGGTCTGAGAAACAAACACAAATGGGTGAAAAGGAAAAACCAGTAGAGTACATTAAGGGCAAAGCCATTCCAGTAGAAAGAACAGGTGGATTTGATTTAACTCATTTTCCCCCAAAAAATTCTAGAATTCAGATTGGCCACTTCAGAAGGTTTATACATAATTTATAGGAATTGGTAAATTATTTCAAATAAAACAAAGTGTATGGTGGGTTAAATTTGTGGAACCAGAAGGGACAAAAGGAAAGCTGAGACTTTATGTGGCTGACATGAATTTATGGGTATTGGATTTTTTACAATGGAATGCTCAATTAATATTCCTGCAATCTCAATGATGATTCATGATGAAACTTTTAACATGAAAGGATATCAGATTTTGTCAAAGGCTTTTACAGCATCTAATGAGATGATCATATTATTCTTTCAGTTTATATGTTGGATTATGTTAAAGGACTTTCATATATTGAATTATTTCTGCATCCCTGAGATGAGGCCCACTTGATCATGATGGATGATATTTTTCATGTGTTCCTGTGTTTGGTTTGTGAGGGTTTTTGTTTTTTGAGTATTTTTTTCATCAACGTTCATAAGAAAAAACAGTTTGAAGTTCTCTTTCTTGAGTCTTTGTGTGGTTTAGATATCAAGGTTATTGTGGGCTGATACAATGAGTTTGGCAGTGTTCCTTCTGTTTCTATTTTGTGTGAGTAGTTTGAGGAGTATTGGCATTAGTTCTTCTGTGAAAGTATGGTAAAGTTCTGCATTAAGACCATCTGGACCTGAGCTTTTTTTGGTTGGGAGGCTTTTAATGACTGCTTCTATTTCTTTAGAGGTTATTTAAGTAGTTTATCTGATCTTAATTTAACTTTGGTAAGTGGTATCTGTCTAGAAAATCCTCCATTTCCTTAAGTTTTTCATTTTTGTATAATACAGGCATTTGAGTAAGACCTAACGATTCTTTGAATTTCCTCAGGTTATGTTTTTATGTCTTCCTTTTCATTTCTGATTTTGTTTATTTGGATACTGTCTCTGTGTCTCTTGGTTAATTTGGCTAAGGATTTGTCTATCTTGATAAATTTTCTCATAGAAACAGCTCTTGTTTTCATCGATGCTTTGTATTGTTTTGTTTGTTTGTTTGTTTCTAACTGATTTCAGCCATGATTTTGATTATTTCCAGGCTTCTTCTACTCTTTGTTGTGCTTGCTTCTCCTCCTCTTCCTCTTCCTCCTCCTTTTTCTAGAGCTCTCAGGTATATTTTTAAATTATGGGTATGAGAACTTTCTAATTCCTTGTGGAGGCACTTAGTGCTATGAACCTTCCTCTTAGCACTGCTTTCATTGTGTCCTATAAACTTGGGTATATTGTGCCTTCATTTTCATTGAATTTCAGAAAGTCTTTAATTTCTTTATTTCTTCCCTGACCAAGAGATAATTGAAGTGAGAGTCATTCAATTTCCAAGAGTGTGTAGGCTTTCTGGTGTTTCTGTTGTTAAAGTTCAGCTTTAATCCATGGTGGTATGATTAGATATAAGGTGTTCTTTCTTCCTTTCTTTCTTTCTTTCTTTCTTTCTTTCTTTCTTTCTTTCTTTCTCTTTCTTTCTTTCTTTCTTTCATTCTTTCTTTCTTTCTTTCTTTCTGTCTGCTGAGGCTTTCTTTGTGACTGGCTATATGGTCAATTTTGGAGAAGAATCCATGAGATCCTGAAAAGAAGGTATATTATTTTGTGTTTGGATAAAATATTCTGTAGATATCTGTTAGGTAGATTTGATTCATAATGTCTGTTAGCTTTATTATTTCTCTGCTTAGTTTTATGATGACCTGTCCATTGGTGAGAGTGGGGTGTTGAGGTCTCTCACTATTAATATGTGGGGTTCAATGTGTGATTTAAGCTTTAGCAGTGTTTCTTTTACAAATGTGGGTGCCCTGTTTTGGGGGGCATAGACGTTCAGAATTGAGATATCATCTTGGAAGATTTTTCCTTTGATGTGTATGGAGTGTCCTTCCCAGTCTCTTTTGATTAATTTTGGTTGAAAGTCTATTTCATTAGATATTAGAATGGCTACTCTATCTTGCTTCTTGAGTTCATTTACTTGGAAAACTTTTTTCTAGTCCTTTACTCTGAGGCAATATCTATCTTTATTTCTAAGGTATGTTTCTTGTATGCTGCAGAATGATGGATCCTATTTTTGCATCCACTCTGTTAGCCTGTGTCTTTTTATTGGGGAACTGAGTCCATTGATGTTGAGGTCCAGTGGTGGTTTTCTTTCCTGTTATTTTGATGTTGGTGGGGTTAGTGTATGTGTGTTTATGTGTGTTTTTCTTGTTTTTCACTGATATGGAATTACTTATGTTCTATGTTTTCTTGGATGTAGTTTTGCTCCTTGGGTTTTCCTTCTAGTGTTTCTTTAGTACTGGATTTGTGGATAGATATTGTTTGAATTTGGATTTGTCTTGAAATATTTTGTTTTCTCTATCTATGGTGATTGTGAGTTTTGCTGGGTACAGTAGTCTGGGTTGGCATTTGTGGTGTTTTAAGAGGTTGAACGATATCTGTTCAGGCTCTTCTAGTCTTTAGAGTCTCTGTTGAGAAGTTGGGTGTAATTTTGATTGGTCTGCCTTTGTGTG